TATGGTTCCCAAGTTATTCTCTTCATCGTGATCCAAAATACTATCCGCATCCAGATAAGTTTGATCCAAATAGATTCCTGAACGGCAATGTAGACAACTCGGTCTATATGCCATTTGGAATAGGACCCAGAATCTGCATAGGTAATAGGTTTGCCCTAATGGAAGTAAAAATTATGCTGTTTTATTTACTTTGGCACTGCGATGTTGAACCTCACGTTAAAACTAGAATTCCGATAATATTGAAGAAAACATTTTCTATGATGGCAGACGGAGGTTTTTGGTTTAAATTGCGAGCGAGGAAATCAAAGGCCCCTGTTACATAATGCTTATTGAACGAATACGGAGTTGAGTAATATAGCATATTTAAATTTTAAGCATGAATTTATATAATTTGATCTTTGAAATTATAACGAGAATCCATCCATTTCCTCAATTAAAACGTATAAGAAATTATAAGTAAAAGTTTCAGAGAAGGTATTCTTTTAATACGTATTGTTATAATAAAAATTTATCAAATGTTAAAAATGTTTTGATAAAAAATAATAATTGTTGTATTAATAAAGATATTTTTCTTATTATTTTCATTTGCATATAAATCAGATAAATTTTTTTAGTAGTAAATGATATTAATTTTTTGCATTATTTAATATTAGCCTTCTACAGTTTATTTTTTACAAAACATAAATTGGTATTGAAAGTTTTAATCTAATTAATGTTCTAAATTGAGTGGATCAAAATATTTACAGTGTAAACGCTTTATTATTCAATTTAATGTGTCACGTCACAAATGATTTATATATAAAATATTTGAAAAAATTGCAATCTTTTTGAGTTAACTCTAATTTTTATTTACAATAAATATAAAAATGATAACTTTATAAAAGCGGTTTGCTTAAAATGTTTCAAAGAAATATGATGATTTTTTTATTATAATCTAATATAATAATATTTTAAATTGTTGTATTAATCAAATAACGTGATATTATTTCGACAATCTATATAAAAAAAGCATGAAAAATCAAAGAAATAAAAATTTTAAAGAGAAAAAATTTACCCTTTTTTTAATAAATGTCTTTCTTATTATTTTATTATATGTTTCAAATTATTAAAATTATATTTAAAATAAATAAATATAATAAAGAATAAATTAATAAAGTTAATTGTGTTCAATGTCTTGTTTGAGTACAAAACGATATCTTGTACAATTATATAATAAAGTGTACTACTTGGAAAAACATTGCATAACTAAAGATTATTTGTGATAAACTAGAATTTATTGACGTGAGTATCATTTTTTAATCACGTTATCACGAAAAATATGACAAGTTACATAATACACATATGTCTCTAGTTATATTATACGCTTCTTCATGTAATATGTGCTAAAATAATGTAATTAAATATCTAAGTAAGAAATTAAATAACTCAAATATGTTTTATTTCTTTAAGTATATCAAACAACAATACAAAATATATCAATACTTGAGACAGAAATAAAGAGAAAGGGAGAGAAAGAATTGAGAAAAAAATTAGTTAAATTAGTATTTATTATTAGTAGTTATATACAGTAGTGTAATTACTACATGTGTGATACTGTTAAACTATTCGTATTCTTTAAACCAATAAAATATTGGGTTAAACGAAAAATTTGTCCCATTCTTTTCTTACTATTATACTATTGCCATCTCAATTTATTTATATTAATGTTATCTCTTTGTAAGAAGCGAAATAAATTTTCTATGCCTAATATTATGTATATAATAAATGTAATAGATTAAAGCGGTAATAAAATTATTATTCTATCTATGGAAATTTATTTTTATCTAACTAAATAAAATTATTCTTTGCAAACAAATAAACTCATGAAAGTATAAATAAGGAATTTACAATTCTGTAGCTAAGGAAAGTTGCTTAAATCTGCAATTAAATATAAAAAGCAATTTTATGTTTAAATATAATGTAACATAATATAATATAATATAATATAATAAATTGATAGAGGTTGATTAAATACATTAATTAATAAAATATAAGATAAGAAATATTATTAATGTGTTATTAAAAAAAATCTTTAATATTCTTATTTAATTTTATTTTGTTATGTTTGAATAATTTTATAATATTTAAAATAAATATTTTGTTAGTCTATACTTAAATATATTTAACTATGATATAGTTAAAGTAAGATCTATATATCTTCAGTTAGTCTTTAACCCGTCAACTCAATTCACACATGATAAATTTTATATGTCAATAATCTTGTGTAATAATCAATAGTCTTGTCAGTAGTATAAGATATATGATATGTCCTATTAACTTAATGCAATTTTTACAACATTCTGCGTATATAAAACAAAAATAATTGATATAGAGGAGAAAAACCATCTTTATATCTTGTGTATTTTCAGATAACGTATCAGAACGATAAGATATCGCTTGTTGATTATGGTAATTTTTTTAAGCTTTCAGATAAA